TCATGACAGAAAAATATTTGATGCAGTTTATCATACGATTACAATTTTTAAAAAAATCTAGAAAATATAATCTTAATTTATTTCAGATATGGATGTCCAATCTTTTGAGACATGTAAAAAATAAGCTATTTAATAAGCTAGATTCATATACCAGCCTTTCTTTATATCGTTGCTCCAATCTACTAAATGGTGTCTTATTTCACTTGAAACAAAATCCAGTAACTAATGTGTCATAAAGATACCCCGGCTACCATGCCAGTCACTCTGAAGTACTTTGCTTTTTTTTCATTATTTCCTAACAATGAAGTATTTCACTTACGCCAAACACATTACAAAGTGCTGTGCCATTTAATTCTTAAATTCATTTCTGTATGTATTTATTCAACCGTATCTTGGTGGTAGAAGGTACTCAATATACATTTGTTGAATGGGAGAAGAATGAATGAAACATACTACTTAAATAGAGTGCTGTACAAAATGGCACATTATTAATAACTGCATTGGAATTTTTAGAAGTGGCTGATGCAGGAACAAATGTAAGCCTTTTATTCACAGCAAAGCCTGGGAGATGAATGGCCAGCACATGTGATGTGTGATTTATTCATACACACTAGTAGGAAATTTATAGGCATCTATTAACCTACACGAGTTCCAATTTTATCTTAGGCTGGTCTTTTGTCATGATTAGCTATGTTGTGAGTCTATGTTAAATAACAGGCTGTCCGTACTGAAAATATGCAAGAAATATGAAGACAGAAATCCAAACTATTATATATGAACATCGTCTCAGTTAAATCACATTTTATACATATATATATGTCTGCTTATGTGTTTAAAAAATTGGACATGTACATACATATGCACAAAGCGAAGGATTTTTTTCTGGACCTGAGTCTCATTGCTATGGACTGAATTGTGTCTCAAAAAAACATACCCTGTGTTGAAGTATTAATGTCCAGTACCTCAGAACATGACCAAATTTGGAAAAAGTTCTTTACATAGTAATTTTGTTGAAATAAGGTCATTAGGGTGTGTTCTAATCCACTATGAATGGTGTTCTTACAAGAAGAAATTTGGAAACAGACATCTGCAGAGGAAACATGAAGAAATACAGACACATCTCCTTGGCCATCTATAAGCCAAGAGGGGTCTCAGGAGGTTCCAACACTGATGACACCTTGGTCTTAGCCTTCTGACCTCCAGAACTGTGAGATCATAAATTTCTATTGTTAAGCCACCCGATCTCTAGTACTTTGTTACAGCAGCCTTAGAAAATCAATACACCCATGAACTAATAAAGACCACATGTCTTTTTCAACACCACATGCTGAAAAAGAAAACACATTATTTTGTTTGTTTTGATATTCCAAGTTTAGGAAAAGATGACTCTTCTTAGCCTGCATTGTGGTGGGGCCTGATCTGATCCTTCTTTGGGTTAAAACACCATCAAGGAAAGTCACTGCTTTAGCTGATAGTTCTGATTCATCCTTTCTTCAATTGATTAGGAATTCAAACTTTATTCAACACGTTGTTGCTCACCGTCACACGACGATGCCATTAGATCGGCTAAGCTACCTTTAACACGTGGTTGGTCTAAAAGAGCTTCGATGCACGTCATGCTTTGAAGGGGTAGCTCATTCCTGGACTTTCCCTTGAGTCTTCAAGGCCCCTGCGTGCCTCTCCCCTGTGCCCTCGCGAACGTAATAAATATAAGGAGAGCAGTGGAGTGTGAGGAGGGAGAATCCCCACTTCCCTTCCTCCCAGACTTCAATTTGCAGAGGAAAGGAATAGGGTGCAATTTTGTAACTGGGGTAAATGTAACGACACTGCTCAAGTCACCCAAACAACCCATGTCAAAGGTGAGGAAAGATCACACTTCTGTTTGCCCTGACACAGGACATATGGTAATGTTTACAGAGACCTACTGCCATCATTTTTCAATTCTTCCCAGCCTGTGCCGTTGCCCACTGTGGCAACACATCCCCCCAGGGACAGAAACTGGCTCTTGGAGCCAGGCAGGATTTGCTGTCATGTTCTAAGTTCATAACTATACGATGCATTTCTCTGCATCATCTTAATAAAATAACACAGAAATAAAGTTTTATAATAGCAACAGAGAGAAAAAAAGTCATAATTTTCCATGCTTCACGATTCAGAATAATTAATTTAATAACTGTGTCATGTGAGAAGAGTAAATAAAGAGAAGGGAAGGGGTGTGGATACATATGATCACTGAAGCATATACAATTGCAAGGAGAAACAAATTACTACAGTAGTGCTGGAAATAAAAGCTTGGTGGGAAGTATTTTTCGGATACTAATTTGATTCTTCTATTGAGCTTTAAAGCTGTAGTGTCTACAAGTACACTATTTATCTCCACTTGTTTTTATTGTTAGCAGTTATATAAACTTATGTCTCTAAAAATCAGTTAAACACCTTCCTGATCTGTCCTCGGAATTTTCTCGAAGAAGTTCTCTATCTAGACTACAACAGGACTAGGATTTCATTTACAACACCTTGCTGGAGAGTGTTTCATCATCAGAGGTGTTAAAGAAAAGTATTGAAATTAATAAAGGAAGAGAGAATCAAAATAAAATGCAGTTTTCTCTGGACACAGTTACAATCTCTTGGGTTCGGTTCACAATAACACTGAGACTCTAGATCTCGTATGAGCAGTCTGCTTCTCCTGCCAGTCTGCAGGTTCTCAAGAACAGATTATTTCTAAGTACCAGTACAGGTGCCTAAGTCCCACGCCATAAATACAGGCTTCTAAAGAGTGTAAATAATTAAATCCATTAAATTGACAGATATAAAAATAAATCTTCCTTTACTTGGTCAGATAAAACTTAAACCTCATCTATTTTATTTCCGTGTTACCGTCCTCAAATGCTGAAGAGATACCAGCCTTGCCCCTTTGCATATTAAGACTCCGGATTCTGCCAGGAGAACGGCGAGATTGCAGTTGCCGCCTTCCCAATGCAGCCCGCCACCTCCCCGGCCTGCAGGGCTGGCCTGGCCCGCCCGTGGCTCAGCGGCTTACCGACAGTGTTTATGGGATCCGGTCAGGGTTTCGATCACGAAGCACTCGCCATCGTTGAGACAGTATGCCAGGTCCTTGTCTCGGCAGGGTTTGAAGTGCTCGGATCGTTCCGTCGAATATGTCGTCGTATCTGTGAAGGAAAGCACGGAGGGAAATGCTGTCAGCGGTGCATTCGGACACCAGCAACTGCCGTCACTGCCTGGTCCTTGCATGGAGGCCTGCTCGTGGGCTCTGACCTCGGGGACTCCAGACAGACCGGTCCTCCATGGTACTGACCAAACGCAGCTGGTTATAACCTACTGTGTTCAGGGGTCTTATCTCTCCACTAGATTTTAACAACTGGAGTCACTCTAGAGAAGTGCCATTTAAGGACACATTAACGGTAAAAGCTGAATGATCCTGAGTCAAACATCCCAAATCTGCTGTCGTTAATTTCAGTTTTAAAAAACACGTCTGAAGGATTGGAACAACATTCCCTTCCCTTTATTGTTGCCAAATGACACTAAACATCTGATCAATGTATATTGTGACTATTCTGTGGAAACCCTGTCAATTTTTTTTTTTAGTTGTAGCTATAATTGGCTAATAGTTAAGCCAATTATTCTTTCACTTTCTGCTTTTATTATGTAATTAAAATGCAAATGTTCCAAATTCTAAAACAGATTTTCAAACGTGAAGAATGAATGTTCCTGGTAAATATTTAACAGGACCAATTATCCTCATTTTTTAGCGTTATCTTAAACATGTATTTTTAAAATCATAATTACTTACATCTTTAAATGAAGCTACACATGCATATCTGCTTCCCAAATATGAAACTAACCATAAATATGTGCTATCTACAGGATACAGACTCTATCACCACACATAGACATTATTCTAGTTGCAGAGTTTCAGGCAACTAAAGTATTGGCACCAATTCTACTACCACATCCAAGAAAAAATATATTTAAAAAGTGAAAGATGGGATAATTATTCAACATTTATGCTCTTTTAATTTCCTTTTCATATATCTAGATTAATAATAATGTTCAACTGCATGGCATATCATACCAGCTTACTAACTGCTATGGTTTGAATGTGTCCCCCAAATTTCATGTGTTGGAAACTCAATCTTCAGATTCGTATGTAGACGGTATTTGAAAGTGGGGCCTCAGGGAGGCGATTAGGATTAGATAAGGTGATGAGGGTCATGGGACTGTTTGCTGTTTAAGAAGAGGAAGAGGTACCTGAGCTGACTTGCCCTTGCCCCCTTGCCATGTGATGCCCTACAACAGCTTTGCAAAGAGTCCCCACCAGCAAGAAGGCCCTCACCAGATGGAGCCCTTCAACCTTGGACTCCTTAGCCTCCAGGATGCTAAGAAACAATTTTTTTTTCATAAATCACCCAGCCTCAGGATTCAGTTATAGCAACAGAAAATGAACTAAGACAGTAACTGTAGGTCACAATGAGCTTCTTTCCTGTTCATCATCCCAACTGATAGAAGAGTGACCACCCTAAAAGGAAACTCACTCATGTCTCTCCCACATCTAAAAATCCTCAATGGGCTCTGCTGGGGGAATAACTTCCACATCCTTAGTTGGGCCTACAAGGGCATGGGGCATCTGTACTTTTGCCTGTCTAATCTCTTCTTGCAGCCTAAAATGTTACACAACTTAATTTTCAACTAATAATCTACTTCCCTCAAATGACAAGAGCTGTCATGTTACTCCTTCTCAGACCACCCTTCTCCTCCACCCTTTTCTTTGCTGGAAGACACTGGTGATCCTCCAGAACTTAGATGATCTTCCTCTCCGGCCCCCACAGTGCCTCTATCACTCACATCACTGCACTCGGCACTGCGAGGACTCCTTTCTTCACAATTCTATCTGGCCCTCTAGTCTGTGAGTTCCTTGAGGGCAGGCGTTGAGACTTAATGAAAATGGGTGCCCATAAAACTATCTCCAATAAATCTGATCTCTCTGACATCACCAACAGTTTAAATGCTATGGATGAAAGAAATAATTATTAAAGACTTCATTACAATCTTAAAGAAGTTAAAGTAACTCTTATGGCAAAAAGTTAAATATAAATTCACATTAGTGTTATAATTTTAGTATACTTGTCTTCAGATTTACAGAGACCCTCACTCATATATTCCTCATATACTGTAAGCGTTTAAAAAAAACTCTTTCGGTGTCCTTTTTCTTGGTGTTACAATGCAAACTTATTTTTTCCATTTCAAAATATCTGCCTGTTAATACACTGGCATAAAATAAAGGCTCTGCAAAACAGACGCATTTTCCGTTTTCCAGAAGATCTTCTCTACAGTGAAGATCTAATATTCAAGACAGTATGTGATAAATAGTCGCACAGAAGCAATCTCTCTTTCTATGGGAAATATTTAAAATTCAAGAGCTCTGAGCAAAAAATTCAATATGAAACGCTGCACAGTTGACTGCTACTCTGACCGTGGAAGTATATTAACTCATGATCAGTTAGTTAGCTTTTCTTTTAATTTGTTAGTATCCATTTATTGATAGTCACTGATCATTCTTCTAAAAACAGCTTTTCACTAACATAACCTACAGCATAAAAAGTGAGATCCTTATTTTATCATCAGTGGTTTTAACAAGCTACAGACTTCAAGTGCAGTACAATGGCAAAGCAATTACAATCAATTAATTTCCATCTGACAACTGCTGTCTCTAGTGCTTACCGCCCCATTCTACCAACTGATTGCCCCTTTTCATTATCATCTATGAACACATTACAGAGGATCAGAGACCCAAGTAAATGGCTCTTCAAAAGTCTGGGGTGGGAGAGCTCAGAGATACAGGCTTCACATGTGCTCAGACTTCCTATTACCATAGCTTAGAGAATCCTCAAATTAATTTGAAATATGTATGCATATCCCTCACAATGACTTGACTGGATTCAGAGAACATTATTATTCGATCTTTGAAATAACTTAATATAATAAATGATAATAGAATATTGGGTTTGATCCTCATATAAGTAATTAATACAATTATCTATAAATTTGAAATTTTCTAATTTATCTATGCATTTGACTGTATAGTCTCCATATAATACTATTCACCTAAATTCACAGAGGCATCGGGCAAGGTAAGTTAAATTCATCCTGAGGTGAAACTTTACTCTTGAAAGTCATCATGCCAAAAATGTGGATGGAAAGACAGAAAAAATTCCAGATCCTTAAGATAACACTAGGTTACTATACTAACTCTAAGACCACCTACCTAGACTTTTCTTAAATAAATAATGAGCACACTGTGTCTAAGTCACTGTTCTATTACTTATAACCAAACATAGCCTGGCACAGAAACAGTAATAATTTTGAATGACACCCTCCAATATTTGTGTCTGCTTACAAGTGTATGTATGTGTATATACCTACATATATTTGTTCAATTTTTAACAGATATATTAAAAAACAAATTAAAAAAAGATATGTTACAAAACGTATAAAATAGAACATAAATAAAAAAGAGGTTATCAAATGTGAGGTGAAATTCTGTATTTTCTTTCCGCGTGCTAAGGTGGTACAGCATGCTTTACCATATCCAGCAGAGTATTCCATTCTAAAGGGGAAACATGGGACATTTGTGAGAATGAGATCATGGATAAGATTTAATGTCAAACTATAAAACTTATGGCCCTAACAACCTTGGTGTACCTTAGTGATCAGATGTAGAACTCTCATCTGTGAATGCATCCAACATATTTGAAATCTGTGTATAATTTTTTTAAAGCTATACCACTTTTAAGACAGTCCATTTACACTAAGCTGGCTATAGTATATGGTACTATTTTGGCATGTACTTAATTAAGCTTTTTTTCCTAAGAACATAATTTGGTTAATAAATTCATTACAGAGATATTGTCTTCAAAAAATTATATGGATGAATGTCTGCATAAGTAAATGAGGAGGGGCCTACTACTCCTGTTAATTCCCATTTGTCTTTCAAGGGTTTCTTCATGTTCTCTTACTCCAAAGTGGGCCCACACATCAAACATCATTCTCTCCACACACACAAGCTTGTGAACCTCCCATGTGATTAGACCATGAGCTTCCAGGGAGCAGAGCAGATCTTCACATCTCTGACCCACAGTCTTATGGATGGTTTGACACTGATATGTTCACAATAGGTGTTTATAGAAGGTTGAACTTTTTATATTTCAGCATTTTTCTAAACGTTCATTTTGAAAAATATTATCATAAATGAAAACCTCTATTTAAAAGAAAAACCTGGGAAATAAATAAATGTTTAGAAGTTAGGACACGAGAAGAACTCCAAAACAATTTAGGTAAAGAATGTAGAATTTTATAAGTGAAGGGAAAAATCAACTCCATAGCATGGAGGAGAAGGGAGGAGAAAACAACACAAAGCAAAAAATGGGAAAGGATTTTCTAAAAGAGAGGGATATGTATGGTAATGAAATGTTAGCCTTAAGATTAACAGAAATGGTGCTAATGGCCATCCAAGCACCGTGGTGAAGGTCAGGGGCTCAGCTCAAGAAACTACTCCTCCTGGCCTGACAATAGCGTCCCATCATTTGGGACCAGGGGGCTGTGCAGTTATACAGACCGCTCATCTGGTACTTGTTTTACGCAGGTTAATGTGTTTTCTTATTTTTTTTTTTTTAATGGGTTTTGGTCTCTATCCCCAGGGAGGTCAGGGAGAGTGCTTTGCTTCTGAGTTCTGTATTCTTTTCACATCATGTAGAATACATAGTAAGTAATCAGTACAGTAATTAAACTCACAGTGAGAGGTGGTGGTGGTTAATTCATTAAAGGCAAAATGGGAAGGAAACGCAGGGCTGGAAGACAGAATTCCCTGCAGATTTTGCAATGAAAGTTAATTTATTAATGAATTGAAACGATGACTGTTTTTCCCCTTAAGTACTGAGCCGAACCTGAATATTACTTATGGAGGTTTCCATGCTGTCAGCACAATGCTGCACACTGTGGGAACACATATTTTGTTGCAGGAACAAGAGTGCTAAATTGGCTATTACGGATAATAATTGCAGTAGATAGTCAAAGAAAGAGAGAGCTTAATTCAGGCTATAGTTATCTCCGAAGGTTTCCCAAAGTGTTAGCATTGGAGCCAGACATTGAATAT